TGCCTAGACCACGGCCTTGCCCAACACAAGTTATAAATTCGGGCACCGCCGGGAATCGAACCCGAGACCCCCAGGATTACAAGGCCAGCGTTCTAACCGCTAGACCACCGTGGCAGGCACTAAGGATAGTACGCGGTATAAATGAAACAAGAGTTGATTCCTCACAGGAACCCAGATAATTTTGTCCAGTCCCAGTATGGAGGCTCATCCTGTGGGCACACAAGTCTCCTACTTCAGGTATAAACACTGACTGGGTTTCCGTCCGTATTGGCTAAAAAGACGATCTCATTAGCAATTTGTAAGAACATGTCCATTAATATGATATTTTCAAGGACAAATAAATTGTTGTTCCTTTGGATGAGAGGGCAATTTGCATACAGAATTTCTGTGGGAAATCCTTCTGGAAAACGACTACTGGGCAGACCAAGAAAGAGACGGGAGGATAATATCAAGATTGATCTTTGGAGCTGGGCTGAAAGATTGTAAATAGATGGAGCCTTTGGTCATTAACAACCGATCAAGGCCCTTTTTATATGAATTATGCTTCTAGGGACTACTTAATATACGAATCTTTAACTAACTGTTGCTGGAATTGTGTCTACAGACAATATTAATGCAGTTGCAATTAATGCTATAGTTCGTGATATTCCCAATAGATATCCTACATTAATAAATTTTCTCATTGGTACTATGATACTTTAAAATATTATATTTGGAAGTAAAAATAATTCTCTCAGCGAAGAAGGGAAATGGATCTATCTATAGATTATTACAATGTCTTATTATTTTTGCGTAAATTAATAAATTAACGATAAAATCTGACAAACTTGTTTGCAGTAAATCAATACATCACGCAGACATTTCTCGTTGCACGGACAAAATCAGTCATTATCCCTGTTTTTTGAGAAGGCGAGAAAGCCTCTATTATAGACCTGCTACATTTTAAATGTTTTTTCACAAGTATTTGAATTCGGCACACAGGATCATATTTCCTATCATTTTTAAATCCAATTTAAATTCTTCTCAACATGGCTTTACAAAACCTAAGTAAACTGTCACGAATTTGGCGTCCAAGTTGTATTAAAGACATTGGTATTTTTCACCATGTTTTCTCATATCAAACAGGTATATTACTCCTTCTCTTTAGATAACCTTGTGATACTCTTGAGAATCTTATTTCGTTTGGAACTCTCTCACGTCTATTAACCCAACAAACTTGAAAAGTCTGCTACCGTATGTTACGACATATTTAAATAACTATGCACACAATTACAACTACATTTTGGAAAACTTGAAATTGCACATATTATGTGACAGAATGTGTTATTTTTACGTATTATTCATAAGGTTTTCAGTGACGAGAGTTCCACACAACAAAAATCCTTTTATTCTCCTCCCTTTAGCTGCAAATAAGATTTGCAACAGGCCTAATGTAAAAATGGTAGACAATGAATGTTAACCCTTTCAGCCCCAGGGATCTCGTGTCATAACCACAATGCATTTGCCACCTAGTGGCTGGTTCCTGAAACTGTCCTGGTACACAGATAGTGCTGCCATCTTGTACACACCCATGGTACTCGGATCACATTTTTTTTTACTGAACGCGTGCTCCGTTCCTGATAATTCCTGCCCCCCAAAACAACATTGCAGCTTTCTCTACGCAAAGGGACTTACCATACTAGACGTTAATTGCACGAGAGTTGGTGTATTATCTAAACTGAGTTACTTAGCTTCATGTCCACTGGCCTGGCACTAAGTGTCTTTTCAAAGTGTAAACAGTTTTGTTTGTATGCATTATATTATTATATAATTACAACGTATTTAAATTAAAAGTACCAATCATCTTGAGAAAACTTAAATCCATTATGCATAATACGAGGACACAAACCCAATACCACTGGTTTGATACTTTGTGCGCGCGCATATATATATCGGAAAGTTTCAAGACTGTGTCAATAGAGGGCGAACCGGATGTAGTACGAGCTTCTGCCGCTAGGGGGTGCGGCCTACATTCATAGTGAATCAGTGTGCCATATATATATATATATATTTACACTTATTTTCGTCTCTTTGACTGGAAATGCCAGTGGGCTGAAGTCTTGTCAAATTCATCAAGGATAAGAAAGTGAGAAGATCTCAGAATAAGTTCAAGACATACAAGAAATGGTACAATCAGGCGGAACACAGGCCTGTAGGGGGCATATCATTTGCACAGTGCAGTACTGACGGTATAGGACTCTACGTGAACTGCTTTAACGTGACACAAATGATGGATACTGACCACTCTTCCGAGTGGTTTTGTGGTGTAACGAGGGCTTTTCTGAAGATATGGAATTATATAAAAATGTATGTTGCATTGCGTCTGAAAGTTCTATACGAATAAATAGCAAAAAATTTAAAAAGAAAATTATGAGGCGCTTGAAGTGTCAACATAAATCTTTTGATTACCTTGGTTAAATGGTAATTTCTGTATTTTTATATCTTCAACATAATTATCGGCTTCTCTTCTTATAACAGAGAGAGGACTCAGTGTTCCATAACCTTGATATTTTGAGAGCTGAAAATCTTGGTTCAACAAAAGTTGTTACACCTGGGATAGTGGTTCTTAAATTATCTAGGTTAAAAGTTTGTACAAAAATGATAGCCACGCTGCTGCTATGAACTTCTTGTGCCACGATATAATCAGATTTCCTTTGAAGTCTTCCGAGTCACAAGGTTAATTTTTCAGCCAAAGATTCAGTCATAAATTTGTACCGATTTTCATATAAACTGTTCAGGAAACATAACCTCAAATTGAATGTGTCAGATTTCTCACAGTTACATTTTTTTCAATGCCTAAGAAACAAACTGACAGGTGAATGATCACGGTAAAAATAATTTCTTATAAAAATATTCTGCACTTTTCCTTCACAGAATTTACTATGTTGAAAACTGTTACGAAGGAACAAAAATCATGTTGCTACACTGTAAACGTTAAAAGTAGGCAGGGTCACCCATCTTTTCTTTTCCAGTTTTCCTTGAAAATGGGTGTGTTGCAGGTTATGAATAACACTTTGATTAACCCTGCACACATTCAGTGTTCACTAGAAACTAACTGGCTTAGGGTACCCGAAGGTTCATTGCCGAATTAACCAAAGCCCTCCACCAGTCCCTGTGTTCACTAGAAAGAGACGTCAAATGACTGAAAGTAATATTTTAAGAACAACAACTATCACAAAAATCTTACATGAAGGAAAAATACTCACGAGATACGCAAAACACATTTCAGCTTGGCTTGGCAGGGCTGAATAGGAGTATTTTGTGTGTCCTTTTCTCTCTGATGCATACACGAAAAACACATACTGGCACACAAAACGGCTGGTGGAAGTATCCGGTTTCCTGTCGTAATGATTCACCACGCGAGGCATGAGTACTGCACGCGGCGTGCAAAGAGTTTGGACGATAACCTCAAATTCGGCCAGTGTCAAGAAGGGAAACTAATAGCGTCTGGGATTTGGCCTTCAATTGCGAGTCGGCAACACAGAGGACTACATTTCACTCATCCAATGTCAAATCCTTCTTCTTGGCATTTAAGATCTGACCACACTTACTTTTCGTCTGTTGTTGACTCAACACAATGCAGTTCAACAGCAACCTCCAATTCTTGCATCTCGTTGGTCTGGCTATGTAATACTAAATGCAAGGCATCGGAAACAGAAGGGGTAGTGGGGGTGGAGGGGTAGTAAGACGAAAAGGTAAACAAAGGCGGTCTACTGAGATCAGGAGCGGAAGGGACCCGTTGGTGTTAGTCAAATCCAGAACGGAATACGGAAACAATATCCGATAATAAGTCAGTTATCAGAGCAAACATGTAGGATAATTTGACTGTCTCACTGATAAAAACTTAGGACAAAGAAAATCAGCAATTTGAAAGTCACTTTGATCGGTCAACAAAACATCCATATTAAATGCATTCGTATTGAATAAGGAATGCATGCTACTTACGTAGTGGCTGAAATAATCGGAAAAACAGGGAGGCCTTTTACCGACTCAGAATTTGTGAAGTAGTGATTGGAAAAGTACGTCCAGTCCAAGAAAGTGTTGTAATGCACCAGCCTTTCTGCCTGAATTTTTGCAAGGTGTACAGAAGGAATGATAGTAAAATTAATTTGAACAACTCAAGATGAGAGTAAAATTATTTTATTGTTATGGACTCAAAATGGATTAAATTAATGACATCAGATACTGCTCATTTGTTGATATTCATTCGTGGAACTGATGCTACCTTAATGGTTCACGAAGAACTAGGTGGTTTATGCAGTTTGAAAGGCACAACTACTGGCGAGGATTTCTTAAAAGTACCAGAAGTGCTCAGTTCTTTGGAATTGATCTGGAAAAAATTTAAAAATGTAATATCTGATTGGCAGGGGGAGCTGGTGGGACATTTGTGGTTCTAAGACCCGTGTAGTAGGATGAATCTGCAAGGAAGCGATGCAAGATGGCTCTTAAACTCCTATTGAAAGGAATTTAAACAAAAGTTTCTACCGAGCACTGTGAAAAGTACTGAATTTGTTTAGTGATGGTTGCAGAAGCCAAAATCAGAATCACGATGCTCAAATTTTGGCAGTCTCAAGTTGTGAATGACAGATTTTAAAAAAAATATATCACTCGCACAGTGTGGCCACTGCTTCTTGCCATATGACTCCCATTTTGTTGTTCTTGAGTAAATGCAAAGGAAGAGGGAAAAGGTGGAATGTATGGAAATTACAAAAACATGTTTTCTGTAGTTTAAATAAAGGGCTTTATGATCAAAAATTTGTCTAGTCATTCCATTCTTAAAGAAAGCGATAACCAAAGCTCCGAAGTTCGTGATTACTAGATACAAATGTTGGGAAATGAGACTAAAAATTTGACATGGAAGCTAATGTTAGGATCAGTTTTTTGTCTTGAGAAATGACCCAAATATAAAGGACACGTATAAGAAAAGTATCTCTTTCTATGCATCCATTATACACTTCTTTGCTTCCAATAAATCCAGCAAAAGTAAGAGATCCTTAGCCTGAAAAAGAACTTAACTACAGCAAAAGCTTTCACCTACCATAACTTTACCCCTGACGGCGCTGACAATGTCGGATAATTCACGAATATGCACCATTAAATGTAAGGTTAAACATCTTTTTTTTCTTGTAGATATAATGGTCTGAGTTCATATAAACATTACGTGTAAAAATTAATGAGTTCGTGTGTAAATATAAAGCTCTTTGCCATTATGTATTATTATTTACAAATCTCTCATATAATTCGCCAAGAAAGAGCCCAAATCCATCACATAAATTAATGCATCATTAACCAGTACTGAGTAATAGTTCACAGACATTCTTTATAACTACTTTAATAGCACGAAAGAGCACAATAAAATACACAATACAGTTTGGACAAGAGACAATATTTGTCTCATAAAAAATTTTAAATCATGGATATGGGCCCTCCTCCTCATCTTCTCCTTCTCATTCTTCTCCTCCTCCGTCTCCTCTCCTCTCTTTCTTCTTCTTCTCCTCTCCTCCTCTTCTCTTTCTTCTTCTCATTCTCCTCCTCCTCCTCCTCTTCTTCTCCCTTTTCTCTTTCTTCTTCTTCTCATTATTATCTTTCTTCTTCTCCTCCTCTTCTCTTTCTCCTTCTCATTCTTCTCCTCCGTCTCCTCTCCTCCTCTTCTCTTTCTTCTTCTCATTCGTCTCCTCCTCCGTCTCCTCTCTTTCTTCTTCTCCTCTCCTCCTCTTCTCTTTCTTCTTCTCCTCTCCTCCTCTTCTCTTTCTTCTTCTCCTCTCCTCCTCTTCTCTTTCTTCTTCTCCTCTCCTCCTCTTCTCTTTCTTCTTCTCCTCTCCTCCTCTTCTCTTTCTTCTTCTCCTCTCCTCCTCTTCTCTTTCTTCTTCTCCTCTCCTCCTCTTCTCTTTCTTCTTCTCATTCTCTTCTTCTCCTCCTCCTTCTCCTCCTCCTCCTTCTCATTCTTCTTGCCTATTTATTAGCTTTTACAGTAAATAAACCTAACGAGAGTGACGCATTTAAAATCACAAGGAATGCACTGGGATATTCCTGCATTTGAGAACAACTTTCCACTCTCATTAAATTGTGGCTTCAGGGTTCACATCATCCGGTAGTGGCCGTCCAAGCTGTCGTCTTTAAAACTTGATTTGAGAGCTTTCAATCTGGTCGACGTGTAGAAGTCAATTGTTTCTATATGCAAGGGATCTTCTTCTAACACGTCTATAATTCTGAGTTATGAGGCTGTAATCAGCATTGTCGTAAGGTTTCCTTCTACCCATTTTAGTGCCACTGCATAATTTTTGAAGTGGAAATATTAAATATCACCAAAGATTCTTGGAACAACGACATCAAATCCTTCGTTCTATGTTTTCAGAACCCAATGTTACTTTATTATCGACTTGTAAACTTCCACCAGACCAGATACTTCTACAACCCATAAGACAGCCATCTTTATATTCACCACCCTGAGAAATCCACTAGTCAAATATTTCAAATTTTGGAGCAAGACATCAAACATTACGCAGAATAACAACACAGATGATTATAGTTTTAACCATGGTTTATTTATCTTAAGACAAGTGTTAAGGTCACGTCAACTGCTCACGGCTTCTGAAGCACTGCATTTTACCCGATTAAACCCAAGTTCATATTAAAATCTCAGGTTAGGTTCTAAATGACCCAGGCGACCCGACTGACTCTCTCGCACGATGTTGTGGTTGCCCCGCCTTCCAAGCCAACCCCAGCCCCTCCACTGATGCCAACGACACTAACCCCTATCCCAGCGTTCGGACCACATCCACCATGGACGTCAGCCGGGAATGTGGGTCAATCGGGGTCGTAGCGACAGTCTACCCGGAGTAGAGTGAGTACGACAATTAGGGTAAGGGTTGACAGGGCGAGGTTGACAGCTGCAAGTACTGCAAGGTTTGGAATCGCTGACGTGGTAGTAGTCAGATGGTCCAGATGAGGAGTTACAGAGGCGGAAGTCGTGACTGCTAGTGTCCTAGCTGCCTGGATCAACACAGCGGCGTGCAGAGAACAGGCTCCGCCCCACAACACTGCCAGCAGCCCTGCTATACGAGCCGAGGGCCCCAGAAACCGAAGTGCGGACCACAGTGACTCTGGTGCACAGCTGGACGGCCGGTAACCCCCGAAGCCTCGACTGGTGTGGATGCTGGCCGCTGTGGAAACAAACTGCAACTGAGGCTGTGGGGAAGTGGATTTGTAATTCTTTACTGTATAAAGTGTAGAGAATTTCCTGACAGACACCAGCTGTTTTTTTTTTGATATAACGGGGGAGCTCCGATAATTTAAAATATCATTCCGATGCTGACGAGACAGTTAATGAACTGATATTACAATTTATCCTAAGATGCAGTCCGCCACCAAGAAACAGGAAACAATTATGTCTTAGGGAGGTACAGACGCACGTGAGACTCGGATCCTTAGAGTTGTTGTGGGTTGTAGAATAATTCGCGAAATAACCATCAATAAAAATCAAAGGTATCAGTATTTGCTTAATTAAAATAACACACTTCTGAATTACACGGTTCCATTCATTTAGCAAAAGTTCGAGTAATCGACTGAAGGAATAGGACAATCTCACCGGAATGAACAAAATCTTAAATAGGAATAGTGAGATGACGTTCAGTACGGGAAATTGTTT